TATCTTTACAAGTTAACCAAACACCTGTAACTACATGATCTTGGATCAATCCTCTTAGTGGCGAACCAGTTGTTGGGCCAAGGTATTGTTTATTTGCATTTCCAATCATTTTTGCTTCAGTTTGCGCCACTTCATTCTGTGGAAAATGCACATTCATTTCATCGCCATCAAAATCTGCATTGTAAGGTTTACTAAATTTTATTATTAATTGATTAGAATTGTCGTCGGAACTTTCCTTTACACATAAATAATGTATATATACACACACATAAAAGTAAATTATAAATACCAATTTACATAATGCATTCTAATAGTCATTTCACCTTTTAATATTCGAGCTCTATGAGCCATTATAGAAGGTTTATGTAAAGTAGGTTGACGATTTAAAAGTAAGATGTCACCATTATCAAGATGGCGAAATACCTTTTTATTTAGAAATTGAGTATTAATTCTATATTGAGTAAACGACGATTTATTATGTTCTTCATTAAGCAATTGTTGTCCTATTGAATTACGTGATTTTTGAGATATCATTGATAAATTTGTTAATGAGCCATCTTCATGTTGTATATGAGTTGCACCAGGCCATATATTTGGTCCATTGGTGACAGCTTTACTCAATCTTTTAATATTATAGATGGTCACTGGTTCAGGAAATGTTAATTTTTTTGCAAATTCCATTGGTATCTGATAAACAAAAACAAATTTTAATAAATTTTTCCTTGAAACAAAAATGTAACATAAAAATGTTTCTTATTAAAAAAAATAAAAAATATTTGATTAAAACTTACTCCAATTTCATCGGTATCAACGTTTGGATCAGGGGAAATAACAGAACGAGCAGAATAATTTACGCGTTTTCCCATCAAATGTTTTCTGAATAAACCTTCCTTTTTTTCTAGAACTTGTTTTATTCCAGGTGGTGGATCCTTAAAACCTGGATAAGTTCCTTTGGAGCTATCAAATAATCCATTAACAGTGTCTTGTAGATTCACCCAATAATTCATCAAATTATCAATTGATTCGTTAATGTCAACAGAATTTTCAAGAATATTTTCTTTATCTTTACTAAACTGACCAGCAATATTACATAGCTGTTTTCTGGCATTTAATATTCTGGTAAAATGAATTGATTGAGAATTTTGTATGGCCATTTCCTCATGAACAGATATGGGACGAAAACGAACTGGGGTGACTCCAATAACTTCAAGAAAAAATATGTCAGCTCTGAGAGCTTTATTATTATTATCATATTCAAATTGGGATATTGGAAAAGTTTCCATATTATACAGACAAGAACATAATTCTGATTCATTAGTGAAAAGTTGTCTAAAATGATTGCGTATTATTTCTGGTGTGACGTATTTGTTTTCCATATTTGATAAAGTCGATGACTGTAATGGTTCTTGTGATAAAATTTTTTTTGATTTTTTTGGATCATTTGCTTTTTCATTACCTACTAATTCATCATCTATTTCCATGTCATCATCTGCGTCACGATTTTGTGGCACATCATTTCTTGCACTTTCTAATCTTTGAATTTTGAGAGGTAATGGTTTGAGAAAAATTTTAGAATACCCTTCTTTTTTAAATGTTCGATAATGCCTAAAAAAATTTTTTTTGCAAGTTAATTAGCTAATAAATAATAAATAATTGTAAATGTAATGTTAAATGTAAATGTAAATATTATATGTGAAATAATCTTACGAATCGCAATTTGGACAATTCTTATTTTTATTACATTGGGCCAATAATTCTGCAATTACTAATTTTCTTTCAGCATTAACTGCTGAACATTTGAAAACATCCTTTTTATTTTTTACATTTTTCATTGATTTATTCAAAAAGTTTTCTGTAATTCCAAAAAAATATTATATTTACAATTAAATTATTTATTAATTAAAGATAAAATAATAATAATTATCAATTACCAATTTCTTGTTTACAATCATCAATCATTTTATTTGATTTTATGTCACTTTTAAAATCTTCAAATAAATCGGATTGGCCAATATAATCGATTTGCTTGGATTCTAAAAGTAATCCATGATTTAATAATTTTAACTTTGCAATGTATTTAAAATTCTATAAATGTAAAAAAATTATATTGAATCATTCTTTTCTTGACTTCAAAAAGATCTAAATGTAATCGAGAGATTAGTTGTTACCTGAACTTCGCTAATTCTGAATCTATGACATTTCACACAAATTGCTTTTAGTAGAATTATAATATGATTAAAAAATAATGGATTATAAACTGGACATGGAAGCTCTATATGACCAAAGTGTCCTGGGCAATTAAACTGATCCAAATAACAAGTTGCACAACTATATGTATATAAAATCAAAATCAAATAGAATGTAAGCGAGTTTTATTTATAAATAAAATTGTGGAAGGAAAAGAATTATTTGAATGCATACACCGAATTTTGACTAAAAGGTCCTAATGCGGGGTCATAAGACCCACCGGGTACAGGTAAACCGAAGTCATCGAAGGTAGCTGGATTAAATATTTCTTTCACTGATAATTTTCTTAATTCTTCTGGTGTATAGCAAGAAAATGCAACAGAATTAGCTTGAAGTCCAAGAGGATGTGAAATATTCATATTTTTTTTAAAAATCAAAAAATTTTCTGATAATCAACCTAATGTTATGTACAACAGTGGCGCATCACGTTAACATAATAGTAATATTTTATTATAGATTTAAACCGAATCAACATTTTAAAAAATGGAGTTTATGAGTGATATTGCCTCAGGTGCAGATATTTATAGACCTTCTTTGTTTGAACTTATTGCACAAGAAAAATTAAGAGAGTTGATTCAACCTGCTTTTAGATATGTTTTATCTGTAAGATAATCATTTTTAATAGAATGTGAAAATAATTTTATTTAAATTTCTTTTTCTAATGTTAAATATATTTTCAACTACAATGTAAAAAGGTGTATGCACAAAGATATCCTAGATATTTACTTAAACTTGTAAATCAATTTGATGAAATATACACATTGATTATGGTATTTATAGAGAGGCATTATTTAAATGATTCAGGTACATATATATGATTTCGGTATTATTTCGGTGTTGTTAGCGACAATATAATTATATTAGTAATAATAATTAGATGGACTTCTTCATAATTATTGATTAGGTGCATCTTTTGCTGAAAATTTTTATGGACTAAAAAGAATACGTTCATTGAAAGTTGGACATCATCATTCACAAGAAGTTAAATCTGACACCAATTTACAAAATTTAAGAAATGTTGATGTATGGAGATCAATATTTGTATTGGTAAAAATAGCGACGAAGATTTTCTTTTTTTTTCGTTTCCAATTTCATCAGATTCATCGATTCACCTACGTATTGTTATTATCATTATTAGGTGGGAATCCCCTATATTAAAACTAAATTGGATATTTTGTACGAGAAAGTGAGTGGAGGTGTCGGAGCAAGATTGTTAGGCTCTGCATTTACACGAGATAATCAACAACTGAGAAATAGCAACCAACAAGTTAGTAACATGTTATTTGAAAAATCTGAATATTTGAATTATCTATCTTCTTCTAAACAAATAATCCTTCCATTCTCAAGTTGGATCGTAAAGAAAGAATACGAAGGCTTATTAAAAAATTATTTAAAGATCTTTATCCATGGATAAATGCATTTTATCACGGATCAATCTTATCATATAATATTTGTTATTTATATGATAAAACACGATATTATACACCGTGGCTACATTTAATGGGCATCGAAATTCGTAGAATGAATGAACAAGATTATGTAAGTTTAAAACCACATATAATCAATTAATTACCATTTCAAGATTTAAAATAATTATATCCACATGTAAATGATTGTATAGAGAAATTATTATGAACGTAAACGTCAACAGAGATCCAGAACGGGTATTCCAGCAGAAACAAGAATTCAAGCCGGTCGCTACTTTTTGACCAATATGTTCACAAGAGGCATAGATGTTATTAAAATTTTATTACCAATGTCAATATTTTTCTTCAGATTTTTGGAATGGTGGTATTCAAGTGAATATGCAAGGCTTCAAAGTGGCAATAATGGAATTGATTTAGCACCCCCAGAAATTATCACGGTAAATATTTTTTTATTTCCTCATTAGCTATAAAAACAATAAGAATTATTGTTCCAATTTTCTTTTTCTCATTAATAAATTAGCCCGATCCACAAGGAATACCTCTTCCGCAGTCATCAAATATATGTTCATTATGTAATAATCATTTAACAAACCCAACAGCCATTCCTTCAGGTTATGTGTTTTGTTATCCTTGTATATTTCGTTTTGTAAATGATAATGGATTTTGTCCAATTACTTTGATTAAAGTAGAAGTTGATGATTTAAGAAAAGTTTATAATTCTTCATCTTGATCAATTATTAAATATATTTTTTTTTACACTTAATTTTGTAAATTTATATTTCATTGATGATTTATTAATGTTGTTATATAACTTTTTTCATTCAATAATAATCGATGTAGCACTATCACTGATTTAGTTGTTTTGTACCTACCTCTTCTATATAATAAAAATGAGAAACAAATTTTTTTCCTTTGTTGCTTCTTTGGTTTCAACAACTGTTAACAATAGTAGTAATAAAAATAATAAAAGCAGCAATATCAACATTACATCACTCAAACAATAAACAATACCATACACAAACAACTTTATTATCGTCAGTTTCTATTTTTTCACTAATTCTTGCAAAAAAAAACTCTACAATTATAAATTGATTAGAAAAATAATAATGAATAATAATTTACAAAAGAAATTAGAGGTAAGTGGTCCAAAGATCATAAGACTTTGCCGTATAAATACAAATACTTTTTACTCGCCCTTTAATTTTGAATTTAGCAATCAGTTTTAAAGATTTATTTTTTTCGAATTCATTCGAAAATATACGCAACCACTCCCACTACCCTTAACACCCAACACCCAACACCCAACCACATACACTCGCATAGTCAATGTATTGCCCACCACTCGACTCTACATTAGTAGCAGAAATTGTAGCAGAAAATGTTAATGATGAATCTGATATCAACACTTGTATAGATATTCTTAATTCTTTGGCTGAAGGAGCAACCTTGGTTTTAGATTCTGAACAAAGGGGTTACGGCGAACCAGAATTATTTTCAGAAAATAGTAATGATGATAAGAGTGCAAGCGAGTCAAGTTCCGGTGAAAATGGTAAGAAAAAAAATTTTTTTTATTAATTAATAATAAAAATTATAATGATAAAAATTATTATCATTAATAGAGGATGAGTCGGCTACGAGTCTTGAACCTCAAATGGACTCACTTAGTCTCGGAGAAGAAGGCGGTGTAGGAGGGGGGATAGGCGACGATTCCAATAATAATTATTACTATTATTATCGTGATGACGATCTTGTCATTCTTGATGATAATGAGTTCGATAATGAGTTCGAACCATTTATTCTTTCCAAGGATGATTACAAATCAATTGATTCACCAACTGGATTCTTGAAAGAATGTTTTCCATTAATTTCCACCACAAGAATCGAGCAATTATTTCAAGAAAATGATGATGATGCTGAAACAGTTTTACTATTTCTTCTCAATGAATTGTCCTCGGCAGAATTAGATAATGATAATTCCGATAATAATAATAATATTCAGCAAACGCGACCGTTACCTTCTTCTTCCTCCTCCTCCTCCTCTTCTTCTTCTTTGGCCGCCTTTTCAAATTCATCTCCAAACGCTTCATCAGTAGCATCTTCTTTTTCAACAAACAATTATAAGAATCGTAAAAAAAAGAAATCAAAAATCAAAAATAAAAGTAATGGTATACAGATTAATAATAATAATAATAATAATAATAATAATAATAATAAAAATAATAAAAATAAAAATAATTATCAAAATAAAAATAATTATCAAAAACGTTATTCCAAATCACGTCAACCTCAAAAATTATCCAAAAATTCACCATGGTCCTCTTCATCTTCAAACTCATCTAACACAAATGTCTGGAACAATATTGAAATGCTTCAAGAAATGTTTCCAAATATTCCCGCTGCGACAATTTCTTCAATGTTTCACGAAAATCATGGCAACTTTGATGTTACTTTGGAATGTTTGATTTCTCCGGAAAATGAATTTAAAGTAATAAAAAAAAAAGGAAATGATCAACAATCTCATACTTTTAGAATATCCAATAATAATTATGACAACGACGACGATGACGATGACGAATATGAAGATGACGAAGATGACGACGAATATAGTTACAATCCGGGACATTGTCGCCGTGAGGCTCTTCGTTGCCAAAAATTAAGAAACAAGGCATTTAGAGATGCATCAGAATCTTATAGGGTTAGACGTGGTGGAGGTGGAATAACTTCTTATTATTCGAAGGAGGCAAGATTAAACATTTATATTTTTAATAATAATAAAATTTAAAGGAATAATAAAAACAATAATAATATTTTTCGTTCTTAGGGACAAGAGTATGATCAGGAAATGAAAACATGGAATTTGAGATATGTAATGTCGTCAACTGAACAACAAAGGTAAATCCATATATATATATATATATATATATATATATATATATATATATTATATAAAATATTTCATAATATTTAAACTCGGTTTTTTTAAAAAAATTTATAATAGGAATGGCAAGAATATTATTGATTTACATGGATTAACAGTTGATCAAGCAGTATATGTAGTGAAGAAGCATTTAAATAGATTATATCCAAAAGGTAAATAAATAAATAATGTACTGTATTATATATATATTTATTTATTTATTATAATACATTACCATTACGTTAGGTGATATATACAGTGGTAAACCTTTAAAAATAATTACTGGAGTAGGAAATCATTCACCTAATGGAATTCCAAAATTACCTAATGCTGTGAGACAAGTTCTAAAAAATAATTGGGATTTCGTCGAAAATCGTGGTCATATGATCGTCAAAGGTAGAAAAAAATAAAAATAATTGTAATAATAGTAACAATATTTAAATAATTAAAATAGTTTTTTTTTTGATTTTTGGTATGAATAATTTAATTTTCCATTTTTGGTATGAATAATTTAATTTTCCAACATATATTATAAATAAATATATCTATAATTTAGTTATTAATGTTATTATTTGGGAATCTTTTTTTTTATGTGAACACCATCTATATATTATTATTTTCGGGGTGAGCCTTGGATTTAATAATATATACAAACATACAAATGCCTACATACACACGTTATTCATCTATTTATTTTACTACGCTGGGCCCTTTTATTTTTTTTTGCACAGGACAAATCTTCAATATATAATTAATTAGTAGATTAATAATTTATCAATATCCAAGGTTATATTGGACATACCTTAATATTTTTGTATTTTCATCAATTTCATAGAGATAAAGCAATGTATTATGTAAATATAAAATTCATCAAAAAAAAGGAAAAAATAAAATAAAGTAAGACCGTAAACAATGATAATCATGTAAATAATTTGAAACACAAACCAAAACAAACCATTCATATTTTATTTTTTTGCATATGTTATCTTTAATTTATGATCTGGTCCCATTTGATGATTAGATAAAGCCTCCTTGGCAACCATTGCTTGTGGCTCAGTATCATACTCAACAAATGCAATACCCTTTGCTGGATGAATGGAACGAACTTCTTTAAATCCAGAATATCTATTATATCGATTATTTTAATATTACAAATTTATTCATTGAAACTTTCCCCCAAAAAAAAATAAAAAATAAAAACATACTGCTCAAACAAAGATGTAAGAACTGCTCCAGTTATATCGTTAGGTAAATTTTGTAAAAAGAGTATATTATTTGGTGGAAGATACTCGTCAGGAATATTTCCAGGTGCTGGTAATTGATGTCCAAAGTGAAATAGTGGTGCTGTAATAAAACAATTCTAATAATGTTAGTATTTGTTGATATTAAGATGATATTTATATTTATATAAATATGTATGTGTATATATCTATATGAGTAAATACAAAACAGCGAGCCAACCTCCTGGAATATTTGAAGGTCCTGTTGGAAACGTTGTAGTGTTATTTGGCTTGAATTTTTTCATTGGTGGCTCTTTAACCCGTTTTTCTAATCATAAAAAAAAACCAATTTACGGTTAATACAAATCAAATAAAAATATACAAATTATAATATTAATCAATACCTTTAGCCTCCAATCTTTGACGCTTGTGATCTTCAATGGTTCCATCAATTTTTGCAATTGCATCAGATTTTGATTTTGCATATTGAATCACCTTTGGTAAAATATAAGTTTGATTTTTTAATTCCAAGTTATCATCTATTTAAAATAATTTACATAAATAATACAATACAAATTTATATACCATTGGTTTTCCATGTAAAGCAAACCCTTGAACTCCTTTTATAGCATTTGCTGCACTTTCCTGCTCTTTAAAAACAACAAAAGCTTGTCCACGCATACGTATATTTCCATGTGCTACTATTTCTAGTATTTCTCCATATTGTTCAAAAATAGCACTTAAATGTTTCTTTAAAGCTATTTTAAAACAAACAACCATGCACATACGCACGCACGCATGTATATATTAAAAACAATCTAACCAATTTTAAACAAAAAGTAAAATAGATCTGAGAAAACCACCTGGTATCTTTACTTTTTCATTCAAGTTGTTTATATAAATTGTATTATTTGGCGTTGTACATGTAGATTGTTTAGGTGTTGGTGGTGATGGTAGCACTGGTGTAGTAGTTGAAGGTGTTATTCCAAAGGATGTCGGAGGCGCATATACTGATGTTGGATTTGTCGTTGATGTTGATGCTGCAGACATTTTTTTTTTTATTGTGCTAAAAAAAAATATTGAATGCTAAACTAAAGAGTTCATTGGCTAAATTTCTAGATCAAACAAAATCAGCATAGTGGAAATTTGAAATGTTACACTAATTTTTTATATTGTGCAACGCAACTTTACAAACATTCTGGCAATAAAAAGTTAAGTGGATAAACTGGATTTGAATTACTATATATGTATAACATTTCGTGTAACAACAAACTTCCAACTATGCTAACAAATCTACATGGGGGGTATTCCGGTCGGGGTCCTAATTCTTTAATATTAATATTATTTTAATTTTGGGTAACATAAAAGGTTAAAAAATAACGCGTTTTTTTGACAATAGCAATAATAATGTCTTCGAGAATGCATAATTTCAAGAATAACAACAAGTCAACTTTTGGACTACATCGTTCTCTTATGAAATCAAAGTCAAACCAAGTTTGGCGAGAAGACTTTAAAAAACAATGCTTACAAAGTATTAAGAAACTAAAAGATCAAGAACTAAATAAACGAAGAGGAATACTTGTTGATAGTGAACCTGACCAACATCAGGTTAATCTTTATTTATATACCCTCTTCATATATTATTTCTCTCGCTCTTTATTTATTCGTTTTCTCCTCTTACTTCACAATTCTATAATAATAAATAATAGTGGATTCGAAAGATAGTTTTGAATGAATGGAAAAAACTTCAAACAAATGATCTTATACGTTCTAATAAAATCATTCAAGATATTAATACATCTTTAGAAGAAGAATTTTTTCAAGAGATTGAGCAAGGTACAAAATAAATCTTAGCTTTATACGTATATACATACATTATATAGTATGTATATATAAATATCTTTTTTTTAAATATTTAGATTTTTTATTGGAAGAGGAAATTGATTTGTCGTATCAAATTGGAGTTTATGAAGAGGAATATTTAAATTCAACACAAAACGCTAATACAAATACTTTTATAAAAAATGATATAAATGAACAACAATTGCAAGATTCTGATATTACAATGACATTCGATGAAACAATTTAAAGTTAATCTATGCATAATAAAAGATAATATATATAAGTGCATTTTTGAGGGACATTATTATAAAATTAATAAAATAATTAAATTAATAGTAATCCTGTGTACATATTATATAAATTTACATTAAAGATTTTTTATTATGCAAATATCAATACCAATAAATTTTAATGACTTTAGTAATAATATTAATAATTTTAGTAATAATAATAATTATTATATTAATTATAATAATAATAATTGTATTAATTATAATAATAATAATTGTATCATTTATAATAATAATAATTAGAATTTTCTTATGACATGATAGACTTCGAAATCTTCTAACAGATGCATACTGCCGCTTCCATGATCCAATCCAAGATTTCGATCATAATATAAGAAGGTGTTATGGTGATAGTAATAACAAAATGATTGTTTGTTGACACTATTGTATAAGCATAAATCATAAAAATTTACTAAATTTTCAGATATTTCTATACCATCTATAACATAATTATTATTCATATCATTATCATTATTTTGACTTTTAACACCATTATAATCTCTATTTCTAAAACTATTATTATTATTTTTTTTATTGTGGTTGTATTTGTCGTCGTCATTATTATCGCCGTCAACATTACTACTGACATTGATATCATTAACATTACCACAATGATAAATTGCACGTGCAGGATACGTGACTCTACTTAGGATAGAATTTTGTATGCGATTCGGTTCAATCTTAAAAATGAAACTCTGTATGGTTTCAATGAAATAATTATAGTTGGATGGTATATTTTGATTATTCCAACAGACAGGGTTATATCCACCAACCAACTCATCAGATCCTTTAATTTTCATTAGGACAATTGTTTGTGTAATATTCGAGCATAATTCAATAAATACTGATTGTGAATATCCGTCACAATTTCCACATAAAATTGGTTTAAATTCGTACGGAATACTACCTTCGTTAGTATAATAATGATCATTATTATCAATCCAATTAGAAATAAGACATTTGATTGGCAGATTCAATAATCTTCCTACTCTTCGTCTTTTCTGATTCATTACTTTTAATTGCCAAGCGTTACTATTTATCATCGGGGGACTGTTGTAATATTGAAGAAGCTCAGCATATAATTCATCATTAATTATTTTTTGGTAAGGTTTGACAAAATAGTTGAAATCATCTCTGGAAATATCTGGAAATCGAATTGAAGAAATTAGATCATCTAGTAAGTTTTTTAGAAAAACAATATTTTCTGGTTTTTCCCGTAAGATAATACTAATATTAGTATTAATATTATTTTTGTTGTTATCTTCATCGATATGGTAGTTTATTTGCCCGATTACCCATTTTATAATATATTTCCAAATATCTATTTCATTCAATTGTAAACAATCTTTTTCTATTATGGAAATCAATGTTGATTTATCGATTGATCTAAAATCATCAGATATTAAAAATAAAGCTGGATTGGAATCAAATAAATTGTTACAATATTGATTAAGTTTAAGAAATTGTGCGTGATTTGATGAAATATGGTTGATATAATTTAGATTCTGTTTGAGCCATTCTTGACTACATTGAATTAGATGATTCTGTAAGTAATCAATGACTTCGCTAAGGCATAATTCGTCACAAGCTTCAATCAGACTAAATATTTCATATGGATAAAGATGATCTATTTCAATAATTCCACTATAGATGTAACTTGAATAAAAATTTTATGTTTAATGCGTAGATGTATGTATGTGTATATATATATATATATATGCAATTGTGTTTTTATGTATATTAATAATATAATTAATATGTAAATATTAAATAATTTATGACCACCATTGTTACTATCATTAATACTCACTTTATGATAATTTCAAATATTTTTGGTGTGGTATTTTTCTTTTCAAAAATAATAATTCCATCTTTAGATCTCCTAATCCATTCATTTGACAACGCTACATTAAAATAAGGAGATCTTGCTCTTAATACGGTTGAGTGAACTCGGAAAGTTTTGGTATGTTCTTGATCTTGGCCAACCGTCATTTCTACATCATAAAATGGTTGATCGTTTAATAATTTAGAAAAATCATTTATAAGTTTATTAATATATTTTATAGTCGATGCATTTTTTTCATCGGTAGCAGTAGTTAAGAGTTCGTTAAACAATTTAGTAACAATTTCTAAAGACGAAAGCATTTTTTTTTTTTTTTTTGAAAATTGTTATTTTGTTGCTTGTTTATTTATTGTTATTATTATATATTATTAAAAATTTTTTTTAAATCTGATTTTTACAAATAGATAATAGATATAAATAGATATGAAAAAAAAAGAACCCCGAAAAATTCATAGATAGTTAGTTGTACACGCGTCTTAGGACCGCGAACTATTATATTAGATTAATGGGTGATTGGGTAACATTAAAAAAATTATGTATATATATACAACCGCGCGATCAACGCTAATCATGTGATTCTTATCATATGCAAGGGGATTTTTAGGAGAAAATAAAAGTTTCAACCCTTCCGTATGCTTCCGAATACATATATGTATATTAATATGCTATGGAAGGCAGGCTTTTGGTCAAGAATAGGTTTGAAGAAAAATTAGTATGCTAATTATATATACATTAACGTACACTGTATGACGTTACAAGATTTTGTAAAAAAATTCCCAAAAGAGAATAATATGAAGACAACAATTTTGAGATTGCTTAAAATCTTAAATTATGTTTTTATTGAAAATTAAATATACATGAATAAATGATGTAATAAAAAAAAATCTTAAGATTTCAAAAGAAAAAAAAGTATAGTATTATTATCATTATCATTATTATGTTATTGAAAAATGAAATTTAAATGCATAAATGTGTAATAATGTGTGTGAATGAATTTTATTGAATGTGTGTGTGTGTGTGTGTATATACATTTATTAAAATATCATAAAATTGATAAGCTTATAATATTTTGATGTGTTATTTAAAAAAATCAGTGTTGAAAATGAAAATATTATAATTAAATTAATTAACGTAAACACATGTCATAAATCTTTTTTCTTTTCCAACTAATTTTTTAATTACAGATGAAACTCTTTTTATTGAAGGTTTGCTTTTTAAGAACGAGCAACCTCGAGGTTTCTTTTTCTCGTCATAATTATCAATCTCTTTCTTGATATCGTTTGTTTCTATATCGTTGCTTCTAGTGAACTCGAAACCATTAAATACATTTTCTTTTTCAAAATTTTCATTGTTGTATAACGAGGGAGAAGATGGTAATGATAAAGATGATGATGGTGATAATGATGATAATGATGATGATGATAATGATGATGATGAAATGATTGTATTTCTTTTTTGCATTACAGCTATTTCTCTTCGGTGTATTTTGGATGCCGTGGCAGCTGATATTATCATGTGAGCATCGGCATCAAGATCTTCAGAATTACTATTATTGTAGTTATTGCGACTTGTCATTATTGGTTTTCCTTTGTGAATAACAATTATCTGTGGACGTTCAATAATTCTTTGTGCTTTTATTGCTCTTCTAATCTCGTAATCTGCTTTGGAAAGACCAATTCCTGAATCTTGAGAATCTACTGATTTATTTGATAATCTTTTAATAGTAGACTTTTTAATTGGGATGTCAAACTTAGTATGTAAGATGCCTGGTCTTGAGTTTGGATAACTATATCTAAAGACATTTTCTGAATTATTTGAATTATTTGTTTTAATATTACAACTATGGCGATTTTGAATATGATTTGACATGACTAATTAATAGTGTAAAATATATTATATGAATATTATTATTATTGTTGTTGTTGTTATTATTATTATTATATTATTTTATTATTATTATATTATTATTATATTATTATTATTTTATTATTTTATTATTTTATTATTTTTATTTTTTATTATTATTGTCGTTGTTGTCGTTGTTATTATTATTAAATAGTAAATTGCCTTCCAGGACAACTTTTTTTTCAAAAAATTTTTAATTTTTGTTTTAAAAAAATACAAAAACAAAATTTTTTTTTGAAAATAAAACAATGTGACAAACTAGTAATTATATAGTTTTTTTAAGTTGTAATATGGAATCATTCAAAAGCCGTTAATGTACCGTTTATGAATTTTTGTAACACGGAGGTAAAAAAAATCTTTCTTTTCGGCCATTTTAATTTTGTGGCTTTATAAAAGAATATCAATTGTTTTTATTATTGTTGTTATAATTCGTAAGCAAGTATATCTTATTTCAAAGGGTTTTCTTTCTTTTTTTGTTTACTTTGGTTTTTTATTATTTTTAACCATTGTCACAAAATTTTAAAATTTGTAAAAAAAAAAAAAATAATATTAATATAGCCAACAATAATGTGTATTATAAGTGTCGAAAGAAGGAATGATAAGAGTTTTTTCCAAAAATCAAGTAGTTCAAAAAAAAAACAAATCACCTAAATTGAATGGATAATTCAAATCTATTTATAGATTACAAATAACAATAATCACGAGGTAATCATAATCTTAAATTCAGAAGGTGGAAAATATTCCACCAATTTTTGATAACTTTCTTCCTATGCGCTGAAAAATGTGAATTTTTTCGATTTAAATTTTTATATTGTGTGACAACCATTCATTGCCATTTGTTTGCCTGATAAAACCGAATAAGCCGCCATCATCCACAATTAGACCTAATACAGAAAAAATTACCACGTGATTGTACATACAATGAGTAAATTTCATTTATAAAGAATATATATATATATATATATATGTGAAAGAGCCAATTTTTAACAATTTCAATGGATAGTCCAATCGATAAAATTCCAGAGATCATCAAGATAATTATTGGTTCGAAAGAAAACAACAAGTTGTGTGCAGAAGAGATAAAAAAATATTATAGAGATGATGTCGAATACAAGCATTTTTTAACTTACATTCATAGTTCCCATAATTCAAGAGAAAGATTAATTGCACTCAATAAATTTAATAAAGGTTATTATTTACATATAAAAATGGCTCTTTTAACTTTTGTTTCGATTCAATTCTAATACTTCTTACATATTGATTGGTATTTTTAAAGGGTATATTTGGAGCGATTGTGAAATAATTCATGATATTTGTAAGTCATGCTTGATATTTATTGGAACTTTGAAATTACTATTATATATAAAACAATATTTTTTATTTTAATTTAGGGTTTAATGATGATTCTCTCAAAGCCATAATTGACGTAACTCAAATCGCTAAAAGAGGAATTTGGTTTTGGTTTAATTATTCAACAAGGTATAGATGGTAATAATAAATACTGGAGGAATAATAATAATGATAATTGTAGACTTTTTTCTATAACATAATTTTTATAATGTAGATTATTGATCAAATTGGATCTTTCATATGATACAAATGGAAAATATGTTATACGGAAACAAGAAGTATTTATACATCCTGAAGAACTTGCTGGTGCGTTTGTTCCATTTCTCGTTCCTAAGCTGATTTTATTTTGTAAGTGGCTTTTTACTTGGGCCATTGTAGCAGTTGGAATGTTTTATGGTCTAGTGAATTGGGCATAAAATTATTTTTGTTTGTATAAAAGAATATCATCTGTAAAAAAAAATTTATTAAAAAATTAAAAAATTAAATTTTTGCTATGTAACGAATGAATTTAATATTAATAGTCTTTATGAATGGATTAGTGAGTATTAGTAACACTAATGAGAATATATGTCTCTTCATTATTTATCGTTCAAGATAAAGAACCTCGGCTAGTTATGGCATCATTTTGAGATTTTTAGTAATGGTAAGATTTGGGTTAATAATAAACCAATTACACAAAATACCTTAAATTTTAAACCTACAACTCTATACGCCCACATTTTATTAACTGTTTAACATTAAAAAATTCAATTATACGTAATTTATATATATATAAAGAAAAATTATAAAAATACATTGATAAAATTATGCATGTTAAATTGTCTCTTGTTAACTATTATTGTATTCCAGTGATATCACACCATCCAAATACAGGCAAACAACCAAGATATTTACACCATGGACATTTATCCCTTGGGTCACTTGTATAGAAATTTTTGATCAAGAAGAAAAACAATAATACCACTGCCGGGATTGCTACAATTCTTAGAATCCACGTTGTCCATTTATGAAATTTGGAAAATTTAATAGTCGGCAATAAAATCATCCCAGTTAATATACCCATAATAAATCCTCCTATATGTGAAAAATTATCTAAACCTGGCAAAAGACCTATCAAAAATGAAAACAATATCATCAACATCAACTTTGTAAGTTCCAAACATGGATTTGCTATTAACTTCCAATTTTGAAGCATGTCTAATAATAAAATCCCAATAATGCCAAAGAGTGAGCCTGATGCTCCCATAGAAGGAATAGTAGGCGTGGCGAAATTACCACCAAATACAAATCCAAATATGCCACTTGCCATATATATAATGCTATATCTCCACCATCCAATATCCCTTTCTATTGAAATGCCTGTTCTTAATTGAAAAAGCATATTGAAAAGGAAATGGATAACACCTGCATGAAGAAATACTGGTGTGATAAATCTAAACCATTGATCTGGAACCTCGTCTCTAAATCCTCTTCCATCAAATCCACATGCCGTTTTTAATGGACATTGCTGAACAACAAATTGCCCTTCCACATTTGAAGGACACTGCAATTGATAATCAAATGTTCCTTGAATTGCAACTGGGCGCATGCAAGGATTAAACCTTGCTCCAAGTTGGATTAAAGTCTAAAAATGAATAGATAAAAATTAATTAATTATATATTTTTATATTTGTTATATATTATTAATTCATAAAAAAAAACCACTAACCATTGATGATGGACCGATCATTGGGTTAAGAGGTTGTGTCTGAATAAGAGTTCCATATAATTCTTGATTTTTTATAAATCCGTAAATAAACATTGCTAAATGAATAGTAGTAACAACCCATGTAAAATATGGTCTCCATCTTGGTCGCCTTGCCAACTGTGCTTGTATTTTAGGATCATCATGTACGCTGGCTAGTTTTGGATGTTTGTTGGTGTTTTCTGTAGTTCCTTGAATTTGTGCTCCAGAGACTCTTTGTCCTGGCTCATTCACATTTGCGTAGTAAGATGCAGCCTCTCCTTTAGGACTATACATTCCACCGGTTTGACTTCCTGCGACCGTATTATGCCCACGATAATTTTCAGATTCTTCACGATACAAACGTTTAGCTAATTCCTCATCACTGTCTGTAAGTCCTTCATTTGTATAATTTCCATGTTGAGTTGTTGGTGTAGGAGGCTCCTGAAATTGTTCCTTCTCATTTATACTTCCAGTATTATTAAAAGAAGCTGAAGAGAGGTGTTTTTCAGAATCGTTAATTCTAATATTAGTTTCATAGCTGCTTGGCTGTGTTATATTAACACTTTCGTGACTCTGCACTTGTCCATATTGAGCATAAGAAAGATTTTGTTGAGAAATAGGAGAAATAGGTATACTTCCCTTATTGTTATTGTTTTTGTTGTTGTCGCTGTCGTATGAGGAGGTGTCGTAAGGTTGATTATGATGGAAATGTGAATTCCAACTTGATTCTGACATATCTATTTTTAAAAGATAAATAAAAATTTAAAATAAAAAATTGAAAATGAAAATTTTTATTGTCATATAACAATAAATAAATTCTATTTTTGGGTAATTTGGGTAATTTAATTTTAAAAAATTTTGTAAATGAAAAATTTCATAATAATAATTGGTGATTATTTTAAAATAAACTACTAATAAAGGAAAATACGTAATGAACAGATCAACATCAATAAAATAATTTCTCTTTTTTAACTACTTCTTATCAGAAATACTATTATCGTTTCACATTGATTCTTTTTCTTCTAGTGGTTTATGAAACATAATAAAAAAATATATATATGTAGTAACGACACTTTTGATCACCAAAAATTGCAGTAAATGTTTGTACCCAAATCGTTAGTTAACTCTTCTTTTGTTTCGCGCCAATGCTTGATATTGATTTTCTCATATTAGGTTTCTTCTTCTAAATAACTTATCATTGATTAATTATCGTTATATATAATAATGTTAATTTATTAGTAATCAAATCTGAAGTGGAGTTCCTTCAGTACGATTTGTTGGAAACCCCCTTCCTTGTTATTTTATAAACCCATAGGCATCATCACATGCGTAATCTACATAAATAATAATCATTACGAATAATGATCCATGGTCAATAACTTCATCAATCCAACGACAATGCAGCAATGATAGCGCACGTTCTTTTTCATTCATGACCATTTTATCCTTTATTCTATAGTTAGTATCATTATCACATGTTATCAATATTATAAAAATTCGATTTAGCAGGATAAATGGTAAAAGTAAAAAATAAAAGAAATAATTAATGTTTGTAATATGGTAATTACATAGTATATCTGTATCACAATATTCATGTTATTATTACTATATATATATATTTATATATGTATATATATTAAAAGGAATCCTTAAGATATCAGCAGGACAATTATATCTTGTTAGACCAAATTGTTTGAAGGGCCAAGAGAATGTATGTATGCAATTTTATAATTAATGATAAAAAATAATGATGGTGAATAGGTGTTACCTTTTATTTTTTTTCAAATAATAAGTAATTTTCACAAATTATAGTTGTAGTATTCATGCAGCTGTCGAATGGCAACATCAATTGGTTGTCACAATTGATGATCCCTTTTAAAATGTACATTAACAAAAAAAATGATAATTTTTATGAATTCGTAAAGGAATGTTGTAAAGTCACCAAGTTTGTAAATGATTTACATCATATTTTTATAAAACAAGCAATATTATTTAAATCTATTTGTAAACAAATTCTTAACTGTCTTTTCATTTTTATTTTCCTGTAAAAACTGAATCATCAACTCAAGAAACACAACGCCAAGCCATATTACGTTTTTGGGTGCAAGGTACAGTCACTGGAAAAAAGTATTAGTATCGCTTCACCTGATGATCGGCGAAAATAATTGAATAATTCCTGTGATATAAAATGTCATTATTTTTTTACTAATTAAGTCGATGTTGTGTAATAACAAAAAAAATCATAATGACATGTTTATAATTATTGGTAATTTTATAATCTTTAAAAAGACAAAAAAAAACTTTAGATTAGAGCCAACTTTAGATGTCATGTTTTAACACATTTCGAGAGCTTAGTAAATGTTGTTTCTTTTGTCTTCAAATACATACTTACAAAACCTCACAATTAATTGTCAAATATCGGCCAAGAATCGAACTACTCTTCTTGGCATAGAATTAACTAAATTTTGTAAAAAATTATGGCCAAGCTTCTCCCACTCTTCATTTAAATAAATAGATAATCCTTCAATATTTTTTGGATGTGGTTTTAGATTATGAACTGCCTTTTCTAAATAATCCCAAACATGTTCAATTGGTTGAGATCAGGACTCTGAGCAGGCCAAGGAAGAGAAGAAATTAAATTATCTTCTTTCCATTTAAGCACTGCCTTTGCAGTATGAACTGGTGCATTATCATCTTGAAATATATTTAAATCAGTTCCCAATTCATTCATAAAAGGCAATAAATAATTTTCTAAAAGCTCTTGATATCTTTTACCAGTTATTTTACCTTCTATTATTACCAAGGGTCCTGGTTGGTTGTTCACGAAACAACCCCACATCATTATTCCTCCTCCACCATGTTTAAAAGTAGGAATAAGACAGTCAACATCATACTTTTCTTTTGGAATTCGCCAAACTCTTTGCCGTCCATCAGAATGATACAAGTTGGATTTTGATTCATCACTCCAAATAATATTATTCCAGTAATCAATGTTCCAATTTTTTCTTTCTCTGCACCAACTAAATCGTTTTTTTCAATTAACTTCAGAAACGAAAGGTTTCCTCAATGCAACTCGACTATAATAGCCTTCTCTATGGAGATAGCTACAAACTGTTTGATCACAAATAGGAGTGTCTGTGATTTCATTTAATATGTTAGTTATCTCTCTAGCAGGAGTAAAACGATTTTTTATGACAATTCTTTTTAAAGTCCTAGAATCTCGATCTGTTAAACTTATTGGTCTTCCACTTCTAGATAAATCAGTAATTTGACCTTTTTCGCGATATGCTTTTATTGCACGCTGTACTTGTGTTTGAGTATGACCAATGGCATTTGCTATTTCTCAAGTTGTTTGACCAGCTTCCCAATGACCAATTATTCTTCCTCTTTTAGTATTTTCAGTATTTTGTGTATGATAAACCGCCAAATTTTCTTTGTCTAAACACCAAGTTTCCTCAATTTCTAATGCTCTTTCGAACCCTTGTCTTTCTAGTTTATTACCTGGTTGTTTTCAGGGTTTGCGACATCTTCAGGTCTTTTATCACCACCAAAACTTGCTGGGCTATTTATGACATAATTAATATATTTTAAGTCACAAAGACCTAACACATATTCATGCTTTCATTCTCCAATTCTCCCAGATAATTATCAATATATTCCACAGGATTTCTTTTTTAACAAACACGCTTCCATGCATTGCTTCCAAGTGAAATAGTTTTACCACAGAAATAACTTGTTAGCACTGATAAATTAACAAATGAAGGAAGTTTTTTATTTTTTATTTTTATTTTTAAAAATCTATCCGTTCACAGACCCCAATCAATTTTCTACAATTAACAAATATCGGAAAGCTTGATATTAGTATTAGTCCCGTTGATAATAATGACCACCATTCTTTAATTTGTTATCGACTAATCTACTACCACTAATGCTATAATTAATCCAAGAAACATCAAAGAGATATTTGATAGAATGAACAACTATAGTAATGTCATCAACAACAACAGCATTAATGCCACCACATCATTCCAAAGGATGAGCCAGAAGAGATAACTATAGAAAAGAAAAAAATGAAGAAAAGAGTCATGACTACAAAAAATAAAAAGTCTAGAAAATTGCTAGAAGCACCTTGACAAACATTGACAATTGACTTGGAAGGGAAAACAATTGGAGCTCTCATGTGAAAAAGAAAGATCTTGCTTTGATTGATCTTCCTGCACAATACTTGGAAGCAAAGAAACAGTAGTTAAACCAACGTAAACAAAGCTAGCAAATTATGAAAATTCTCTAAATGTCATTAAACGATAACTTTTTCTTTATTTATTTCTTGGTATTTTTTTTTTTTTACTTTAATCAAAGATTTATTCAATTAAATTTTTATCAACAACAACAATATAATCACTTTAGATGTGGTCGGTCAACTATAGATATATAATCAATATAATCATATATAATCTTAAATAAATTTTAATAATAATTTAATCAAATTAATCGAATTGAATTTCAAAATAACACAAAATATGAAAAGAAGATTTCACTTGATCAATATTTAAACTTTGAATCCACGAGAAGCTCTACGACCACGCGCCTTTTCAAACTTTCTTCCCTTTGAACGAACATAAGGTCTTTTATACAAAGAAAAAAAAAGAAATTTTCATCAATCGATCAATCAAGCAAAAAAATGGCGAATAAACAAAATAATAAGGATCATTATTATACTTGGCATTTTTATGTGGACCCATTCCAAAATGTCTGATAGCTTCTCTTGATTTTGGACCTCTTAAAAGTACAGTATTAGAACCAATTGGTGAGCGTAAAGCCAATTGATCAAGTGTAAGAACTTCACCACCAGCTTTTAAGATCCTTGCTTTAGCGGTTTTTGTTATACGAAGTGCCGCAACTGACATCTTTGGTACATCTAAAACTCGATTGTCATCGGTAACTGTTCCCACCACAACTGCAATCTTATCTGATTTGTTTGCTAAATTACGAATTAATCGAGAAATTGAAATTGGTGGCCTATTCACACGTGACATAAATAAACGTTTTAAAATCACTTTATTAAAATCGGAATCTGTTCTTCTTGCTAAAACTCTGTAAAGCTAATTTTATTATTATTATTAAAATTTTTTATTTAAAAAAGCATTAAAATTTGATTTGAAATAATTATTATAACGACCATTATTTAATTGATTTTTCATTACCTTCACCAACAATCGGAGGTAGACATCCTCACTTTTTGGTTCAGTTCTGTTTCTCTTTCTTACATGATGTTTCTTAATGTCAATACCCTAAACAAATATATGATTTTTAATAATAAATAAAAAAGTTACTCATTTTTATATTACTAATTAAAACAATCATAATTGATAACATTAATGTGTTTTCACGAGAATACCATCTTTGAATTCTTGCTGAATTACAGTTTTCTCAAAGAACAAAAAGTTATCAAAAAAAAATTTTTTTGAGTAACACTAATTCATATTTGATTTTTATCAACCAATCAAATAAGCATTTATATTAATATAGTATTGATTATTTTAATAAAATTAAAAAAAGAATAATTTATATCAATATAAAAAAAAAATACATATATTATTAAAAATGCTTTAAATGATGAATCACATTGGAGGCAAAGTTCATTCATTTAATTTGTTTTGTCGGATGAAAGCGCTTATTTGGAAGGCTTTTCCTGGTTGTTCTCTTAAATAATATAATTTAGCTCTTCTAAATCT